AAGGCTACATGGAAGGAGACACTCACAGCTGGCGATATATGACTTCAGTGTAAACAAATGACCTCACTGGAACACTTGTTAGTTGCACTTCATATGACAGGAAGAGCAAGAGTTTTATAATAAGCAGTATTAAAAGAAAGCCTTGAGGACGTGGTTAACAGGCCAAACCCAAAATACAACATTTCTGGTAGAGCCAGAAAGTAAATAAACGGCAGACGGAAATGACACAGGTCGAATCGTCTTACGTATCACACATTCGTAGTACAGGAACGTGGCGTTTTCCGTGTGGATGAAAACGATAGTGTGGACGCGGAGCGTTTTTAGAAGAAAACGCCATCTTTAAATTTATCCGGATTAGTGTAGACATAGCCTTATTTTACCCACTTTTCTACCCTAGGCTACTTTTGTGCTTACATTTAACTATTGAATATTTGTTATATCACTGTGTCACTACTATTCCACTATAATGTTACCGCTGGGGGCAGTTGATTCACATCTTGCATTAGGTAGTCTGTATATTGCTCATTAAAAAAGTTAGCACAGCAGGAATGAAAAGGGCATTATGGGTAGTTTATGGTGAAGCTTGCAGCTCTGCACACACACAGAACAGACTGTGAAGAGTCCGCAACACAGCAAAGACAGTGATCCCATGTGGAGAGAAAGGAAATGTTTTTAACCCTCAGCCATAAAAGCCAGATGGGGTATTGTTGTCACCCTGAAGGGTGGGCGGCATAGACACCAAAGTTTGTAACTCGAGAATGAGGTAACATAGGATTTAGAAAATTCGTATCACTGCATCTACTAAAATATCTTTAGTTTGAATCCCAGGGAAGAGAAGGTCAGTGGTCACGTTTTCTGAAAATCTTGTGAACGTGGTAACTCTAGAAGGACTTAACCGCGTACTTCCAAATTAATCTGCTAGGAGTCTGAGAGGTACTTGTAGCACTGGTGGGTGCCAGTATTTATTTATTTATTTTTTTTAGAGTTGACAAAACTCGTGATTGTTACTGTAACTGCTTTCAAAACCTGATACCTGCAGCATTCAGATGTGTATCTAAAGCAGGGCATGAGGTGCAAGTCATTATTTTGCAGTTTTGCTCTGGGGGAGGGGCTATAGGACACTTTTGTCAGTCTTAAACCATTTTCCCCCTAATGATGCTTTAGGTAAAAAAAAACAAACAAAACTTATATTAACATATTTTGAACCAATACACCATCCCTCATAGCAACCTGCTTCTAACATGGTGTAAGTTGCATGGTCCCCACCCCACCCCAAGGACCTCCCAGGTTCAAGCTATTATCTTTCCTAATATGGTGACAGTGTCAAACTGAACCTTGACCTTTTCTGAAGAGAATGAAAAGGTCAAATGAGGTAATAGTCACTGTGAGATATATATTGTTTTTCACATGTTCACACAAAACATCCATCTTCACTAGGAACTCTTGTGAAAGCCTGTCAGAAAGGTAGAGTAACAGAAGAGAAGCCACAGTGAGGTCATCTTAATCTTGAGTATATCATTTCCTCTTGCACATTAGATTATTCTTGCTTAACTGCAGGTTAAGCAAAGAACAAGTCCAAGCAAAAAATACTTTCTCCAAATGTTTATCCACCACAGTATCCAGAAAAAATAATTAAACTCTATTAAAAATTAAACAATTTCATTTATTAAATGTAAAATGGGTTTACAATTAAGTAAACTCAACAGGTGGGATATATATTTTCAGTAGATAACAAATGACTTGGCATGGTCTGTAATTTCATTTCCAGTAAAACATTTTTCTTCATGACCGTGAGATGAATTGCAGAAATCAAGCGGTTTAGTTTACAAATTAAAACACGATGATGGATAACACCAGTTCCCGAGATCAAACTAAAATGACTTCCCACAGAGTTTTTCAGTAAAAATGCCCACAACATTGTTTGAACACTCACATCCTGCCTACACAAACCAGATATCCATTAAATATTACATCAGGATATATCGAATACTGTATAACAGTTGGGGATGAAAACCTGCTTGGTGGCACTTTTTAACAAGAATAAACAAGAATAAGAGGAAACTTTTCGTAATTACCTTGTTTGTTTGGGTTTTTTTTGCTGATTTTTATTTATTTTTTGTTCATTAAAGTACCACAGTCTGATCTTATCTTAATCTAAATCACAAGCACAAACAAGCATAATCTAAATTTATCAAGACATAAGCGAGCAAGCACATGTTGCCGGTGCTGGTGGGAGAGAACCTCTTGGATTTATTAACAGCAGCGACTTTGACTATTCAGTAGCTGCAGATCAGACCTAAACAACATCCAGGATACATTTTGAACTGACTGTTCTTTCTCCCAGAACAGCTTCATCAGATTTATATTCTTAAGTTTAGGTCACTCATCACCCCTCACTTTCTAGCTAACAGTTTATCGCCAGTGGAGATTCCAGGCTCCATCATTGAGCGTAATCCTTTTCTCCCACTCGTAGCTGTTTCAGCCTCTTATCTCAGAGTCTCGTTGCTAATAATAATTTAGCCTGTCATTGCTACAAACTGGCAAATCCCACCGTCTGTGGTCACCACATCAGGGCTGGTCTCGTCCCATCTGTCTTGCCTTTTTACATACATTAGTGTTTCTCCAAAACAAAAAAGTTTGATCAGCCAAAAAAACCAAACCTCAAAAGCAGTGATTAAAAATTGTTTTACATAATTATTATCAGTGTTATAATTTATGTGTTGTTCTTTTTATTTTGGGAGAGGAGTGGCTTCCTTTGTGGTATTCTGCAACTGTCTGGCCAGTTTAACATATAACCATAATCATGTCTCCTGATGTTCCTTAGGTATGGGTGGATTTCTATTCGGCACTGGAGTCACCTTGCCTGGCCTCAGTGCTCCATTTCTAGACTCTTTAAGTTTTTAATGTGAAAACTTAAAAAAATCTAATGTGCAGCAGCACATTCAGCAGCTCTTTCAATAGTCACATGGTTTGATCCACAGATCTTAATGTAATATGTCTAAGTTTGTTGCTATGATCAGTGGAAGTAAGCTGACATAGACGTTCTTGTGCCACGGCGTTTTCGGATATATCACTTAAATAATATTTATCCCTCAAATGTCATACTGCAAGCTGCAGTGTGAGCTTTGCAGCTTGGGTTACTTTAGTATGAAATAAACAAGCGGTGACTCGATTCGTTTGGCTTCACTTCCGCTCAAATCAATCAATGAGAACAAATGACAAGTTCCCTAAAGCTATGGCTGAACTTCCTAAGCTCTCCATTCAGAAAGAAATTCTGTGTCCTTCATCCTTCAGCAATTCAAAGGTTACAGATGGCATCTGCTTTTTGTGTGTGTGTGTGTTTTCTTCAGTGTACTAATGACACATTCCTTAACTGATGGCATGTTTGTTTATTGCTCATGGGAATACACTAATGAGCTTTAACTAGCGTTTATTGCTTCTCTCAGGAACGGTATTGATCACTTTCACTGGTTCATAACGGCACATGTTTTGTTTTTTAGTAGGTTTGCATTTTTGCTGTTGCACTTATTAAAAGTCATGCAGTGTTTTTTAATAAGCACTGCATGACTGAAAGCTGCTGTCTAAATAGCTTTCACTTTTATACTGTCAGGCCATCAGAAGCAGAGGCCTTCTTGTGATACAAAAAAATGTTGCTTTTGGTGTGTGTACAGAGCTTCCCCTGCCTCTTTTCAATATGCATTTTAAAGATATGTTGGCAGCTGCTGCTTGCAGGCAGTGAGTAAATGTTTGAAAATGACTAACTTTGAGAAACATGTCACATTTGGTTTCCTAGTCTGACTACTCTCTGCTACCTTATATCAAAGGAACTGACCACAATGACGAAGAAAATGAGAAATATAGTTTTCTCTGGATGCAGTACAGGGTGGCAGTGATTGATGCATATTTAAATATTTGTTTTTATTTCATTAAGTTGCTCAGGCATATGTAACCTTGGCATCAGAATTTGATCTGGGGAACTGAGTGATAATGGGTGGGTCATCATGAGGATGGCATCCTTTCATTAAAACACATTTTGATGTTCACTCAGATGTGGCCATGGCATGCAGCTGTGAAGCTGTAAATAGTCAGGAAAAAGGTGAATGGAAACCGCCTGCCCGTGAGCTTTTTGTTTAATTAAAACAGGCCATGACGTAGAGTCTGCAGATATACTCTCTGATATGAAGTCCAAATGAGATGTTTCTGGCTTTAGAGACACAAGTGATTATAAATGCTTGATAAGAAATAGCTATGCTGGTCAGACAGCACTCTAAAATCTCAGCCCCTATCCCGATGCTTCTGCTTGTTATTTAAATTGGCAAAGAATTAAGAGCAGCACACAAATACACAGTATGACTGATGTTCATCACAACACCCATATCCATTGTTTTCCACATAGGCCCACACTGGCAGCGTTTTGATGCACGTCAGCTGTCATGAAAAAGCTGCATTTTTTTTTTTCCTGCTCCCAAATTGTCATATCTTGCACCTTTAAATACTTTTGTGTTTGACACACCCAGTCTGAGCTGTGTGCGTCATTTACTGACGCACAAGCTTATTATGTGGGCTGAACTTTAGTCTAATTGGAGTCAAAAGCAGTCTGTAAGCACAAGTAAACAAATCAGTTTATGAACATATTAAATTTAAAATGAAGAGATATTCATTAAAAAGGATGCTAAATTATAAAGTATCACAACCACATCAGTAATATTTGTTCTGTTAACAGATCCCTAGAGAACTACTTTTTGAAATTTAAATAAATACCCTTTTAATCTGTGAACTAGGCTTATTTCTGACTGAAACTATCGCCCTGTGTTGATCTCTTCAGTGGGAATTTCACTGAATTAAAAGCCTTAAAAGTGGGTAGGGTTTATCAGCATGTTTCTCCTCTTTTGAACTGAAGACATGCAAAACCTTAGTAGTCCTGTGAAAAAATGTTTTCACACCTATAGTTCCTTTACTCTGGTCAAAATCAGTTGATGAGTTTACAAACTTGTAGGTTTGCCTTCACATAGAAAAACAAATCCAAGTGAACTCCAAGAAAACCAGAATGCATCATTGCAAACTGTGTGAGAATGTTCACTCTGCTCATTGGGCAGATGTGTGTGGGGCGGGAGCAACAAAAGTAAGTACAGAAGAAGGTGCTGCGTTCTGGATTATTTGTGAACACAGAGAATTTACATTCATTTCACAGCTAGTTCCTGGCCTGTACTCACTTGTGCAGATCTACAGTACATTCCTGCATTGAGAATATAAAGCATACGTGGCTACATAATGTTTTGGGGTTGTTTTTTTTTTGTTTTTTTTTTAGCTCAAACTGATAACATACATCTGGTAGTTGGTTTGAATCACGCTCACACCATAAACAAAGCATTTTGGCTGCACCGAGGGGAGAAAAGAAACCACAGTTTAATTTAAATAGACTAAAGACAGCTTTGAAAACCCCATCATTTAGTAGTTTGTAGAACCAACTTTGACCTGCTCTTGCTTTGCTTATTTGTTCGTTAATGCATGGCTCAGTTAAGGTCCAGCTACAGCATCTTTATCAGGCTGACGACTGACTGGGTCATTTTTGTTTTAGCCATTCTGTGGTACACCAGACAACTCCACCTTGCTCTCGTTTGTCCAAAGCACATTGTTCCAGACATCTTGCAGTTTGTTCAGATGCAACCATGCAGCGATGGTGCCATGTTCTTTTTAGCAGGAAGAGGCTTCCTCACCTTCACAAGCAGTTTAAAAATGAGAATTGTTTTAGAATACAAAAAATTAAGTCAGATTAAATAACACAGAAGAGGTCATTAAGTACAAAGCTAAATAAAAAGTAAAAAGTTGAATGTAATGGAATAAGGTTGCTTCATAAAGTAAAATATTATAGTAAATTAAAAAAATATATATATACTAAAGGTAATTAAAATCTCTGATATACTCTTTTCAGTTAAATGTAGTGTAACTGAGTAATTAATTCAGTTTTTGTTTACACTTTAAAGAACATCCCAGCATTTTTAGAAATGGTGTGTATAACTCGCTGCAAGCCTTAGTGTTTCAGTTTGATGTGCTGCACTTATTGGAATGAATTCTTTCTATCGCTGTTAGTCATGAGATAGCCTTTTGTCAGAATTACTCAGCATACCATCAGTTCCAACAGAGATCCTACTGTGCTCAGTATAGTGCTCTTTTTTTGAGACAAGCCTCTAATTATCCTCATTATTGACAAAGTCAACACTGCAGCAATTATTGAAAGAACAGAACGTAACATGCACATAAAGTCAGTTTTAGTTAGTTTGTTAATGCTTGATCATTAGGGCCACAAAATAACACAAGGTACTGTCTGCATTAGGCAAAGTAGTTGCATTCACAAAAGCTAAACAGCATCTAATGTACTTTATGTTTTTCAATTTTTCCACACAGGATTTTTTAGTTATGATTTTTACATTGATTACTGTATGAATAGTTTAGCCTGTTCAGTTTAGTTTGTGAAAGAGAAATTGTCTGAACTATATGTATATGTATATGTATGAATACCCTAGCGTGTTTTTGTGTATTTATGAATTATGCTATGGTTAGAAATAGCAGTTTTCTTCCCCTACAGAGTTATGAAAAGAATGCTGGTATCTCCTGACTTAGTCCTATCAGTACAGAGCAGTTCTCTGTAGAGGGAGCCGGCTTAGATATTTTTTCTTGAAGCTTTGCTGCCAGTATTAAAGTGTCAAAACACACATACATGTGTATGCAGTGACATGTATAAAAAGCTCAAAGGACTTGAATACAGACAGGCAGACGGTCAGACAAATATAAAATATATCAGTGAAGGAAAAACCTGAAAGGAATTGCACACATTTATTCCTTTTCCTCCTTGTTGCTTTCAAAACAGCTGAAGGTGGCCATTATCAGTCACAGCAACTATAATATGTGGCCATTATGGTATGCCGCATTTAGTTGGTGCCTCAGTATTGTTTACATTCGCCACACAATAGCTTTGTATTTTTATATTGACTGTATGTATTGGAAAAGCAGCTGAGAAGGAACAATGAGGGAAATGTTTCGATAACATAACATTCAATAACTCTACCACATGGGTGTTTGAACTGTAAATTTACTTCAGTTATATAGGATTACGTGTAGAAATGCATTGAATAGCTTTAGGAAATAAACAATCGCCGGAAGCACATCAGGGTAGTTTGTAAGATGAAGTCAAATGCAGGAAGACCAATATCAGCTAATTGGGAATAAGGGGTATTCTGCATCTGTACCATCAAAGTAAATGAATTTGTAGTTATTGTTGTTGGGGCAGATTTAATTAACTCTACATTGGAGTCACGTGGATAAGTGGCTTTTATTTGTCTGCCTCTTTGAAAGTCCACATTTCAAGACTGAATGTCTCAAAACTAATTAGACTGTTTGGTTACTGACTTCACCAAATACTGCTGCAATACTCCGGTGCCTTAAGCCAAGACCTAGCAGGTGTATCCTTGACAGTTCATGGATTCACTGAACCATGAAGACTACATGACTCTATACAGTCTAAGCAGCTGTGATGCCTACTCAGCTACATGTAAATGGACTGATTCTTATATAGTGCTTTGAGTACTCCAGGAGAGTAGGAAAGCGCTTAAGACAACATGTCCCATTCACCAATTCACACAAACACTTCTATAATTATTCTATGTGTGATAATCCATTGTTGACCAATGCATTGTTGCCACTCTACTACAACTACATTTTTGTCACCAGTTAGCGGCAAATTCACCTCATAAACTAGACAATCAAGAATCTACTTTAGAGTTTGATTTAGGGCTAATGATTTCTGTAATTTAAACCATTTCTACACTGTTTGTCTATTAGGACATTATAGCTAATATTGCAAATTCCAAATGGATTAACATATTGATGCTGCTGGAGTGTATTTTGTCTTAATGTTGGGTCATTCGAATAAGGGAAGCTGTTTAAGTGAAAAAAAAAAAGCCTGTTAGCAAGTTTCAGTTTCACAAGTTGGCCAAAATAAAACAAATGTACTTCTAATTTTGCTTTCTGTGAGTGTAGACCATCTCATTTAGGTAAAATGTGAAAGCTGAGATAATCTGCCTTTAGGCCATTAACTACAAATCTTAATTAAATCAGTTAGATAAAAACATCTAAACTCTGAACTTTCCCTGTAAACTTTAAGCACTATGTTTTTCCTCATGGCTGTTCTTGTGGCTTTGTATTAGTGTCGACTTGTTGTTGTTGTGCCGTTTTCAAAAATGTCGGTCATTCCTTTCTTTGGCAGCCACTGACCACTTCTATGTTGGAAAGTGTTAAAGCATTAGAGGCTAAATTTCCCCTTCAGGAATTCTACCTCACAATAAACACTAAATAAAATCTAGACAAAGAACGTTTACTTGTAGTAGACATAAGTAAAATAGATGTTACATTGACTGCTTGCTACACATGAGCTATTCGCTTAATTTTTTAGCCATCTTGTTGCCCTCCCAAAGAATGCCCTCCTAAGAGGAAATAATTACATCTCTGGTGAATTACAGAAACTCTTGCATCTGGGAACTGATTCCTTGGTTGAGGAGAATGATTTGGAAAAAGGTTTTATAAAGCTTAAAAGAGGCAATAGGTGTGGTTTGCTACTACAAGATTGGAGCTATATTCTGTTCTGATAATTTCTTCCTCAGGACACAATCCCGGTACTTCTGTGGCGTCTTGTTTGCTTTTCATAAGTTATTCCAGACAATTGAAATCAGAGCAAATGTGTCTGAGTGGGTCACCCAGATATGAGGGTTCAGTAGTGTAAAACTGTTTACCATTGTCATAATTCATCAGACTGTTGCTCATTATTTAACATGGAAATATGAGCTTGATATGAAGTTTTGAATAAAAGTTTTCAATATGCGCTCATAATATATTCAGATTTACAAATCTGCTGCTTTGCAACCCTACCTGCACTAATCACATTCTTCAATAATCAAGTAACATGTTGCTGAATTGCACTGTGTAGAAGGTTACGCAAAAACAAGGTCAGTTTAGGCTAATGTTAGCAGCAGAGACAGTACAAAAGATGCACAAAGTCACCTTGGCTTCACCCACTGGTTTATGAAGTTTTGTCTCTGAAGCCTTGATATGACTGTTTTAAACTGAATGTGATGAGCAAGGGGTGTAACTCCCAGTGCAACTGCAGGCTCAACTCATTAGCCAGTAAGCATACCCCTGATGATCATTCTTCCTGTTAGAATGACCAAATATCACAAAAATAGGCTTCATGATTTATTCAGTGTGGCATGAAATGACTGAGTGAACTTATAACCTCATCAGGAAAGTGTCTGATGAGGTTATGACTGAGGTCCCGTTTGCAGTAGACTTTGATAGAAGTAGGAATCTTTTTTGCATCCACAGGTATCGCCCCTTGTGGCCAGTGAAAAGAACGCAGGTTTAAGGCAGTTTGATGTTGGCTTCACTTCTCAAACTGTGTCCATCTTTTATTCTGTCTGTGGATAGCAGTGGCACAACAACACCCTTCCTTCCTAGCAGGTTAGGATCTACACATTTGTGCATTGTTCTGGTTGAGAGCCAATTTACGTTTATACGGTCTATACACAAACAGATTGAAGTACTGCAGAGCTGCCCTGAGCCACACAGCTTTTTTTCTTCTCTTCCCATTATGTAGAGGGAGAGGAAACCAACAGTGAACTGGCAATTAAAATGTGTATATTAGGAATTATTAGTTAAACTGGAGAGTATGTCTGGTTCTAGTTAGTTAGGGTTATGTTTTAATTGTTTAGTTGACCAGTGCTTTTGCTTATTGCTCTTGATTTCAAATGAACAAAATCATGTCATTGGAAGATGAGACTATTTAAAAATCATTGACACCATCGGCGTCCTCTTCATCATCAGCCTTCCTTCATCAACTGTTGTCCTTTCCAAAACTTCAAAGCAAGGACGCCTGCTTACTAAAATGTTTCAGTAATGAAATGGAGTAAATCCCATCAGTTTAACCTTGAATGATCAAATGAGTGGTGTTACTCACCAGAGTTGCCCTGCGTGGTGTGTTCGCAGTGCATATAGGACACCAGAGCAATGTGGTCTCACACAGACACGGATCAGTTCATCAGCCTTTGGATTTCCCTTCAGGTTGATAACCAGTCCATGCTAAAACACAATAAAATTAATTTAAAAAAAAAGCTTTATCAGCTTTTCTTTGTAGCTGTGCTTTAAACAGTTTGAATACATTTTAATGCACGAGACATAGCAGCACTAATCTGCTCTTTTCATATATTTTTATAATTACGTACTTTAAATTGGTAGCTCGCTTCAAATCGCGTTTGTTATTGCATTGCAGTATAGATTATCAATAAATGAGCAGATTTTCTTGATAAAACCTGTGCTTCTGCACTGGATCAATTCCTTTTGAAGCAAACTAAGCCTCTCCCACCACAGATTTTCAATCAGAATAGACAAGCCCATCAGTCAAGTTACTCACAGTGTGTGCAAGAAATAACAATGAGAAGGTGTGTCTGACCAAAGAGGGATCCCAAAAGTCTCCAAGGCTTTTTCTTCCAGGTCATGTGACCTGTGGCTATCAGCCTTTCAGCAGAATGAGGTGACTGGACGTCTGGTTGATGGACCTAAACAGATCATATGAGAGCGTGGCCATGTTTAAATTATTGCATGTTGGCTGAATTATGAGGCTTTTACTAGTTTTAAGATTTTATAAACTTGTCGGAACATGCAAATTAGATATAGACACATAAATATAGATCCTTTATTTAACAGTTTTCCTGCAGCTACTGTTCACACTGATTTTGTAGGGTAATTTTTGTGGTGCTTAATTTTGATCATATAGTTGTTAGTAGTCTCTTTCTTTAAGAATAGAAGTCTGCTAATAATTGGCCTGTAAGGGGCAATTGATGAATATAGCCACAAGGTGGTGACTTGTTCCTCTGCTGCACACTCACCCATCTGCAAATATCAGATGCAAATATCAGCAATCAATGGTTGTCTGATGGTCTTACTTACTAAATTTATCATCTGTAATCTGCAAAAAAGATATTGTTTATTAGGTCTACAATAATCCAACGGGATAAGTTTCCCCTTCCTTCTTCCTGCAGTTAAACTGCTATCTCTGTTTAACTGCTATCTCTGTTTTATTATTGGAAAGCACTTTGGTCAACTTGTTGTTTTTAAAAGTGCTATATAAATAAAGTTGGATTGGATTTTTAAAAATCATTAGTTGTATTAACAACTGATGATTTTATGTCAGTGCCTATCAATTTGTAATCAGCAGTGGGGATTTTCATTTGAAAATGTATATTTGCCCAGCTGTGCTACTATCATATTTTTTTATTGTGCTGTCACTGTCACAAATATAACTTCTGCTAACTCTGTGAGATCGATCCTCTTTCTAACACCAGTCAACACATCTCGGAGAGAATAGAAGCTCTCCAGCCTGGAAATAAAAGTTGTCAGACACTTTCAAATGCATACCTACACTTTTCTCGTACTGAGGCGTAATCATCTTTGACAATGTATTACTTATGGCTGCATGGCTGGATGTGTGAAAGACATTCTCATAGTAACCATTTGAACTGAAAAACCTTTAAATTAAAATGACTGACATGCTTCCCATGGCCTCTGTAAATCTGTGGCTAAGGCTAATGTGACCTCCATAACCAAGGGTCCTTGCTCGGGAAGGTCCTTTCAGCCATGTAAGCATGATTGGTGGCCACATAATTAAAGACATTTCTATGTGTTACTTTACAGTTAGTTCAATAAGCAAACATTTATTTTATGCTCGAGTAAATTAAGTTTCAAAATTGAGCTTGTGGAGGAAGGCTGAAAACTCTTTGTGGATGTTTTTTTTCCCACAAAGCAAAGGTTACTCCTTTGGTTTTCCAAAAATGCAAGTCAGGTGCAAAGAGGAGAAAAGTGATTCATTAGGAGGGGATTGTGATTGAGGCCGTGGAAAAGATGTGAATTTGCTCTGTGTGTTTAGATAAATCAAATTTGGTACAAGCACTTACTTTGCTGCGCCTGGTCAGCAGAAGCTTATTTAGATCAAATTAAGCGTGGCAGCTGGGTTAAGTGGATCTGTGGAAGAAAGAAAAATACTGCTGTAAGGGTGATGTGTAATATCTAAAAGCACATCGTTCACTCCATGATGATTTCTATGTTATCAAACTGCATGAACTGCAAGCTTTAAAGGGTTTCAACTTTAAAAATGAAAATGTGCTTAATGTTTCTTACATTGTGCGGTTGAGATGTTCACAGACAGCACTCCGAGAGAGGAGAGGACCCGAGTGGAATCCCTGGGGGGGAAAAAAGGATTCATTTATTAATTGCAGTATCAGTGTGTCTTGGGTTTTGTACGATAACAGCTCCCTGTGTCACCATCTGCCCACATCCCACTTAGCAGAGTGGGCACATGGGCTCATTCAGGCGCAGCCACACCCAGCTGAACGACACACACACACACACACACACACACACACACACACACACACACACACACACACACACACACACACACACAGGGCAAAGGAGCTCCTGCATTGATGGCCAAGCCTCTTCTCTTTAGAAGGGAGTCACCGCCCTCTGCTGGCGCTCCATGTGCCATACACCACCCATTTTAAAGATATTTAGAACAATAGAAAAGGAGCCATAAAGAGGACAATTCCATAATTGTTTCCATAATTGATTGTTATATAATGCATATTATACACACACACACACACACACACACACACACACACACACACACACACACATTGTACAGTCCAAAATGCACATTTGTAACCTGTGCTTAGATTAAAAAAATAGTTAAATGTTAAATTAATTAAATTTGATAATTAAGTTTTATTAATATAAAAGGCTCTAGCTAAAAACAAGGCAAGGGCACGCACTCAGGTGGACAAGGTGAATGCACAGAACACCTGCCATGCTCGACACACACTTCCACACTGGCGAAGAAAACTCAGAAATCTTCTTGAGGAATGTTAAGACGACTAATCCCGTGTCAGGGAGCTATAGAAAGCGTGCTAACTGGAAAAATCACAAATTGGTATGGGAATATGCACCGCCCAGTATGGGAAGGCTTTGCGTCAGATGGTTAAAACCATCCATTACATCACCAGCACCCATTTGCTTTTACATGATTTGATTCACATGAAATTCCAAACGTCCAGACTATGTTTGTTTAAGTTAAAAAACATATTTCAAAGTAATCTGGTCAGTTTTAAATGTGACTCATGCACATTTCCATTTGAATATTTATATTCTTGGACTTTGGTCTGTGACTCATGCAAAGCTACTGTAGTATCTGGTGATTTGCGATCTTCATTTGCCTTATAATGATGCTAGAGATACACCAATCCAGCCATTACCATTTCTGAGCTGATACAGACACAGGGGTTAACGGATCTGCAGACGCAGAGTACTGATCCTGTACCAGTGCTAAATTAATCTGTAATGTACACTGCGAGGACGAGACTCGCATATACTATCACATCCAGTTTTTTGAATCAGGACCTGACAGAAATCTGATCCAAATATTGGACTGGTACATCTCTACTTGATGCAGCCCCTCATTTTATTGACTGTCTGAAATGTCCCCCTATAAGTCCACCCTAAGCTTTAAGTCGATGTTCCTCTTGTTGGTTGTCTCTCATTAAAAAAAGAAAAGAAAAAAAAAACGAAAAATGAAAGATTGTAAATGCCAGTGGGTTAAACGTCAGTGCTGACACCCATAGCTGTATGGCTGACATGGCTATATTAGGGATATCGCCTGAACATGACATCACACAGATCCAAGGCTGGAAAGAAGCTGTTTGAAATAGAGCGTTTATAGCAGTCTCTGATATAAACCACAGAAGAACCTGAACTTTATTATAGATTATCCCACAAAGGTGCAGGTGAAAATGCAAATATCTTAAACAGTCATTCAGATTGAACCCCTGAACAACAGAGCAGGTAACGTCAATTTGCTTAATACTGTAAGAATAACATGCCATAGGAGACAATGTTAGGCACCCAGATTAAGTATTATGGTAACATATGCAAGTCCATTAGAATTTTAATAGTTTTTAATAGCTATATTTAATGTATGCTACGCTTGCATGTATATGTGAGCAAAAGATAGAAAGGGTGCAAAAGAGAGTACGAAATCTTACAATATACAGCGAATACACACTCACGTACACACACCCACTAATCTCATCCTCAGAAGCGGGATGGCGATCTGATCTTCCATTAGCTTTAGCTCTGCACTTAGGGGTGGGTGAGGGGTGCTGAGGTCCCCAGAGGTGAAACTCTATTAGCACGCAGCATGAAAGTCAATGAAAAGGACCCCAGTGTGCTCCAGTCCCCCGAGAATATTAATGTTTAATGATATCTAAAAAGGCTAATTCCCCCACCTCTCGCTTCTGCTCTTATCCTCTCATTAAATATCCTCACAATATCATCACCTCCTCAGATTAGAGCACTGACCCTGTCTACTGAAGGACTCACCCTTCACTGATGGTAAATGCATCCTTCTCTCATACACACACATGACATGAATGAAATTAATGTGCCGTTTAAGATGTGTTTAAGGGGAGACCATATGAAATATGGAGGTGTTAAAAAAGTGACTCATATGCAGGAAAAGCAGTGAGTGTTTAAATCAAAAGAGTAGGAAGGAAACTACATCTTGTGTCTCAGCGCTATCTGTGACATGTGTTATGTAAAACCAGCAAACTTAGACAGGCTTTTTGCATAATTTGTTAATTGTTTGTTTAATAAAATCCCCATTAGCTGTGTCTTAAAGCAAAGTTGTTGTTCCCGTGATACATGTGTATAAATACTATTACTAAATACTGAATAGCTGAGCTCAGAGAGCTGTTAAACAAGGTGACCCAACGTAGTCAGCGAACGAGTGAATTGTTTCAGACTATTTTGGGTTACAAGTTTGAGATTAGGCCAGGTTATATGAAGTATTTGTAACAAGGAAGTTGTGAATAAAGAGTGTAAAATTCACAGTGGATCTCT